TGCTCCACCAATCCTCGGACATTCAGCAATTCGTGGCATGCTCCTAATCAACCGTCCAATCACGATTTGGAGCAATCTGACCCACTCCTCTTGCAGTGCAACGGCCAATTCTAGCATGCAGTGTTGTCGGTTGACGTTGACGTCGACGAACACGTCTCCCGATCATGTTTCAGACATGCTCTATAGGGAAAAGGCCAGGACTCCTGGCTGGCCAAGGCATGGACAATATGGTACGATGGAGGTAGTCATTCACGACACGAGCGCGGTGGGTACGGGCATTATCACCTTGAAAGATGAAACGTCGACCTGCACGTTGAGCAAAGGGTAGAACTATCGGTGGAAAGATGTGGTCACTGTAGTACACACCAGTGACCCTTCCTTGAACAATATGCAAGTCCGTTCTGCCAGTCATGATGATTCCTCCCCACACCATAACAGACCCACTCCCGAATCTGTCATGCTGTCTGACGTTAACGTTAACATGACGCTTACTTACACTCCTTCAAACGCGAGCACGCCTATCGGTGAAATCCAGAGTAAATCTGGACTCATCTGAGAACATTACACGCGCCCATGGACGATTACCCTAATTTCTACGCTGCCTACACCATTGACGCCTGTTTGCATTGTGCTGGCGAGTTAATGGAGGCACAACACGCGGTCGTCGCGCATGTAAATGGGCTGCATTTAGCCGATTTCTAATCGTTTGGGGTGTAACTCGAATTCCTGTAACTTGGTTCAAGTTTACAGAAAGCTGATTGGCCGTTTGCCCTCGATATTTCGCAGGACCTGTGTACGAATGTATCGATCCTGGGCTTGTGTAGTGGCTCTAGGACGACCTGAACGAGGTCTATCATCAAAATTGTGTGTTTGTTAGTACCGGTTCCACAGTCTGCTGATCACAGACTGTGACACATTAAGCATGTTGGCTACTGCTCGCTGTGTAGAACCCATTTGAAGCATGCCAATAGCACGTAGAAGACGTCTCATTGCAAATTAAACATAACACACTAAAGCAAAGATACGCTAAACAGTAAATCTTATGCAAGAACCGATAGGAAAGCAAACATGGATAGGATAAAGCAGCACGCGGTAGTTTTCATCAACCCTTCCTTGAAGTGTCAAATTTGACAATGAACCCCTCCCACGTGTATGGCGCTATTGCGTGTCGCGTGTACAGCTCAGTAGTTCTGTTGGGGCGATAAGTTCTTCATCTGTGAACATACTCTAAAAGCTCAGTGGTTCTGTTGGGGCGATAAGTTCTTCATCTGTGAACATACCCTCAAAGCATTTCAAGTGTCCATGACTATTGATCATATCACAACCTGTATAGGTATTTGCTTTTCAATATCCCCTACTTTTTGTGAAGAGTATACTTTAAAAATGAAAAGCAAACACCAAAAAATCTGAAATCAGCCCAAAATATTTAGCAATTTCGAAATGATCATCAAGACAGCTTTTAGAGCACTCACCTCCAATTGGGTGACCTGATAAACGCGATATCGCTAATAACACGAGGTAATTAAAATGCGACAAACATCTGAAGAATTCCGTTACTTCTGTGTAAAACATGTCACAGAGCTTCAAATATTTGATTGGCACTAGAATAAAAGGTTCTAGGACAGAATTGTGCCCTTGAATCTGAAATGATAATGTAAGAAAATAACTCCATAATTTGTATTTGGTGCAGTAATTAATGATTATTGGTTTTTTGTAGATGCTACAAAATGCTATTAAAACAGTTTCCACAAATTTATCTGTATGTCGCTACCAAAATTTGGCGTTTCTTTTATTGTTCATTTTATACTTAAGTCAAACTGATATAACGACGAATGATCGGCTTCTTGCCAAATATATAATGGATAAACTTTCTACATGTAGAAAACGGTAATCTTTCAGTCCTTGAACGTTTACTACTCTTAGTTTGGTATAAATTACATACTATTATACTTAGTTTTGAACCAAGAACGGTTAATTACAACCACAGAAGGAAGTTGTGGGCGAAGGTCTTGGGGTTGTCATTATAAAACTCATTGTTTAAAGACGTATTTTTGAATATCTTTTAATATGCCCACTTCAATTTTAAACTTCCTGGAATTGTTCCAGTAGTCATAAGGAGGAACTTTATTAGCAGAGTCACTGCCCCTGTCACTGAAAACTAATAAACGCCCTACATTTCAAAGATTTTTTTGTCTAAGTGGGATTGTTGTGTCAGTCCTACGGAAGTACACCATCGAATTACAGATTCGAACATCAATTTTATCTAGAGTTTTTATATTAAACTAGTCAGGATTGTTTGGATAGTTAAAGAAAGGAACCCACCTACAATTCAGAACAGAGAAGTGAAATGGAATGTGGCTTTGAGTTCTACCTTTCTGCAGCAGTCGGTCTAGAGAAAACGGGCATATACGTTGTTAGTTACTTTAGTAACGAAAATATGAGAGTCCTACCTGCTGGAAGAGAGCAGGTAGGGCTCTCATATTTTCGTTACTAAAGTAACTAATACGTTGTGTGCTATGAGGGAAATTTTTCCCGGACAGTTACGTGTCCGTTTACTCGTCATCAAATTCCAACAGGAAAGGTTTATTTTATATGCACGTCAATGTGTGCATAGACACAACTAGTAGATAGTTCTGTACCGCTGGCAAGAGGGCGGGGGGCATGCTGGAAAATCCAGGGGATCACCGGACTTCCAGGTTGACAATGCTGTTCAAGTCGGGTTTAAAAAAAAATAATTTAACTTGGATGTAGGAGTCAGGGGCGCATAAACACATTTTTCCACTGAGCATCAGAAAACCAAATCGGCCCACCATATCAATAAAACGCCGGCCCCATAACAATAAAATGCGAAATTCGACACAATAACAAAGGAAAATTCGCCCGCACAATCTCAAAATTCGTATGTCCAAAATAAAGTACAAAAAGACAGTGATCATCATCATTTACATGTAATGTAAGATGTACGTTAACTTTCTACTTAAATGTACCGAGTAATTTCACCCAATACTTGACAATAAGACTTTTTGGTTTGATTGAATGTGTAATTGATTGAATTTTGCTAAATCGGCAAAAATATCGACCCATGTGCCTATCTGGACTAAGTTCAACGGGGGGGGGGGGGCTATTTTCATTAAATGCCCGAACCGTTCTAATCTACTTAAAATCGGAGTCATCCGATGGCATTGAGAGTTGATTATGGTCTTGTCATGTTAATAAATGCCTTATTAATAATTTATATAACATTTTAGGCCCGAAGAAAGACCTGCAGTAGGAAGATATAGCTCTTACATAATGCCCGTTTAATATTATTTATTTCAGATCATAGACGTTAAACTCATTCCCGATTGATTGAGGAGCTATTGGACAAAGGATGATTTAGGTCATAAAGACTGCAATATAGTTAAGGTGTCTTTGTTTATTTTTCATACATCAATTACCGGCAGAGGGGAGGGGTGGCCCATGGGTTGTTGTCTGCTTATATATATATATATATATTACTACCAGGTTAATATTGTTAAACAGACCTCTATATAGAATTCCAGTAATTGTAAATAAAATGTTCTGCAACTCAGAATTATGGTGTTCTATTTCGGCCACTTCCCACCCCTTGTTGCGCGTCGCCCTTAAGCTATTGAGAAAGAACGCGACGTCGACTCTTTAACACGACGTCGCAAAAAAAAAAAAAAAAAAAAAAAAAAAAATTCTGCGGAAATGAAACTTCCTTCACTAACCGGGATAATAATGTCATCATATGTTATACGGTGTGTTGTGAAGGAAACATCCCGTTTCAGCCTACTCTTCATTGAAGTCCACCTGACAAGGGCTCTATTATGTGCATGCCAACGAGTGCACGGGTAGGAATCTTTTTTCGTCCCATCCGACCGACTAGACGCCTTTTTTGTTCCCCCGCACCCCGTCCCACAAAAGGAGAACTGAACAAGTGCACACATATTTCAAAAGATATGCACTAATCGAAATGCAGCGGCATCACGATCCTCTTTTAGAAACGGGGAAATGAAATGAACTGAAATGGGGTTTTACGTCCTACTGTTCTGCTCCGACTAGCCTAATGAAGACGGGAATACACCATACCGTGTCCGATGAGGGCAATTTTGCCCGGACCGCGTAGCTACGGCCTACTCCTATATCGAATTACAACTGATAAAACGGGACCTCAGTTTTTCGTCCCATCCGAACGACTAGACAGCTCTCCTTGTCAGGCCCTCCGTCCTGCATTACTGACAAGGGAGAACCACACCGGAAAATCTGGATGAACTTTCTCGGCTAATGCAGGGATCGAACACCCGACCTCCAGGCTAGCAAGCCAGCGTCTTACTTCCTTAGCCACCGTGGCTCCCTCAGAAACGGGCACAGCATAATATAATACTATTACATGAGTAATTATGTTTTAACTGGGCAAACAACATTTTAGCAGGATGAGATAAGATTTTATTGTACCAACAAGTCCATTGAGGAGAGCAAACAGCACATCTACAATAAATAATATAATATGTACATTGATGGCAGAAATCAGCAAATAATAATATAATAATCCGAGTCCATAATAAGCGAGAGGCGTTATCAGATGCGGGGTTTCCGGCGTCAGTGGTTCAATGTCTTGTCGTTCGGATGGGACGAAAAACCGACGGCTCGGGTACATACGACGGGGTCTGCAGTGCCACAGTCCGGAGAGAAGGATTAGCAGAGGATCCATTTATTAATTCAGTAGGTTATATTCCTACTTACTGCCCCTCCCCGCCCCCAGAAAAAGAAAGAAAAGACGAAGAAAAAAAAATGACAACCCTACTGTCCAACCATATGTTTTTTTATTTGGGTGGAAGGGGATGTGCAAGTAGCCGTAAAGATAGGAATTATTTTTGCTAACTGTTATTCATCTACGATTTACCAAAGTTCTTTGATCACTGGCACCGCGCACCTGTCATGACGTAATAATCACATGACGTATATCGGCCTAATATTCAAGTTATGATAATGTATGAGATAGACTGTAACCATTATGTATGTATAGGATCACGGCTATAACATCTGTTGTTGGCTCGAATAAGCCAGTCAGGCAAATAGAGAGACGGCGAAATGAGAATAGTATTGGACTTGGTTAAAAATATCTTCTCGCTGGCTGGCATTGAATCTTGTTGGAGTGGCTGAGAATTCTGGTGAAGAGTGGATATTGAACAGTGCACTACTAGTACAGAGGGGACTAGTTAGAGAAAACTACTCGAGGTGTTGAAAGAGTTCTTATATTATTTGAGAGTCACACGATGCAAATTGGAGTAGCCTAGATTGCAGGGATTATATGACATTATGAGGTAGGGCCTATTATTATTTCAACTAATGATAAAACCAACGGTGTCGAATATAATGGAAGCTTGCTGTAAATCCAGTAAATATGAACGGATCATGGGCCTATAACAACCGTTCTGTACGCATTAACGTTTTGTTCTAAGCCCTTGTATCTACATACTACACAGAATTCTTGTTTGGTATATTTTTATGTCAATAGATGATGCAACTTTTAATCTACTTATGAAATAAGATAATTATTTATAGGTAATATTTTCGAAAGATTGCCCAGATGACTGTCAAGAACATAATTCTGTCTGAAACCTTTCTGTTTTCAGTATATTATATTAGATAATTGTCTTCATGACCCCCACCTGCACTGTATCTTATTTAGGGTTAGGGTTGGGGATAGGATGTTGAATGGAAGTCACATCAACCATGAATGGCAAATTTACTCTGTGAAATACCCTGGTGTTTTATGATTAAGTTAACCTCTCATATTAGCTCATCTTTCATATGACATTTTATGAACAGTAGTTAGATTAGTGAAATTATGAAATTAATTTTATGTTAGGCCAATGTAACATTTTGAGTAAGTGTCTAGGTTTGAAACTCTAAATTGTAATAAATCTTAAAAATAAAGATAATTTTTTTAATTTGCAAAGGCAGTCAGTTTTATTTTATTAAAATAAGGACAATCTATATTACAAGCGACTATTAGAGATTGCTTGGAGCAATATTAGAATCTGTTCTCCAACTATTTCTTACATTGCATGGCTCGGAAACGGATCGGATATTCACAGTAGGGTCCTACATACTATTCAGCTACTCTGAGTGAGGACACCCTAGCGAATTGTTTATTTCAATTCTATTTAACATGTATGAATAATCTGAAATCACCATTTCAATACCAAGATACAGATAATGGTACAATTTGCAGTTATATACAAGGTGTTGAGACATCACCAAGGGTGGATCCAGAGGAGGGGCTTGGGGGGTCCAAACCCCACCCTGCTCAGCTACATAAAAAAATTGAATGCCTTGCATCAATGCAATTAAATCACAATGTGTTCCTACATCATTACAAAAATGATTTCTCTTTTTATAGAGCTCAATTTGTATGTATGCCTATGTAATTTAGAGACGATGATGACAGATTTCCTTAACAGGAACCTGGCAAACCCCCTCCTGCAAAAATTTCTGGATCCGCCCCTGGTCACTCTTACAGTAGATCATTACTTTGATTTTTGTCAGTATTTAACTGAGACTAAGGAAATTTGAAAAAGAAAACTATAAAAAGTAATTGCCAACTATGCAAACATCCCAAATAATGAGAAGTGATAACAAATGTTTTTGAAAGAGTAAGCACACCTTGTCAGGTACCGTATGCATAAACTTTGCTAGTCAATTTTACATTTGATCCAATTATAACACCACTGTTTAGTAAAATCCTAGCAAATCAAACTTTTTTTCTTTTCAAACTAGGGACAATATTCAAATGTATAATTGGGTCTACCTTGTATTTGCACAGTTGCACATATTTTGTTGTAAAAAGTTGTTTATACAGAATGTGTTATAATAATACCTTTCCAACTAAAGTCACTGAGTGCCTTCTACAAGCTATATATGCAACAAGTTATTATGTGTGGGTTTTTTTTACCAACATATTGGCAGGAAGTAAAATTAAAGGGCGCTTTCATAGAATTTCCAGGACATATATTTTGTAATAGTTGAACAATTGTTTAAGAATGATCATTTTCAAAAAAAAAAAATCATTTATATATACACATACACATTAATTAGTAAAAAATACTATGGTTTTGATTGTATTTCATGTTTCTCTTGCTAAAAGTATTTTCATATCTTCCTCAAAAACCTATAGCTAAACAGCCTTTAATCTGAAGCTGAATATATTATATTGGTTGTTTTTATTTTAAGCAATGTTAAAGTCTAGAACATGGTTATGCTTTTAATGTGCATTCAGAAACGATCTGCATATAATATTGAATTGAATGTGAGTATAGTCGAGACTCGGTGAAACAAAACAAATCATTTTATATATGAATGATATAAGACATGTATGCGTTCAAAGTATTTTTTGTAATTGAAGCCAGGGCAATAAGGACACTGGGTTGAGTTGGATTGCATTGTAATTGAGTTGAGTTGGGTTGAGTTATAATTGAGATAAGCTGGGTTAGTTGTAATTGAGATGAGCTGGGTTGAGTTGGAATTGGCTTGAGTTGGGACCAGCATGATGCCATGAGACAGGTTTCACGCAAATATGCTAAAACATTATACATATTATGTATATGTATTTGTTTGCCATTGGAATATGTATGTAAATATTTATTACAAACAACACATGCTCTATGTACATATTACACTGGTCAATATGATTCTCCTATACCATGGATATTAAAACTTACACATGGTTTATGTAGCCTGTATTGACCACTCGTGTAATATACACAACATGTGTTCTACCTATAAATAGAATATAAAATATTTTGGTACTGGATAAAGAATTACTGGTACTAATAGGGACTTGCATCTGCTTTAACCTAGAATGATATGACAGAATTTGGAGGAAAAAAATACATGGTATGTAAATAATACATTATTTCTACGGCTACAAAACCAGATGTAGGATGGTCCATGTAGGCTAACCTGTTCATTTGGTATGTGTTTACCTCGAGAGCTATAATTGAGGCTGATCAGATTTGCTTCATAATGAGATGCGCAAGTGACGCTGACAAAATTGAATCAAAACACTGCGATTAACTGACATCACATGACCTCGTAAGATGTACAAGTGGTATATAACCAAATACCTCCTTAATAAGATACGTCCTACAATTTCCAACGTCAGCAACACAAAACTTATAATTTGAGCTTTGAAGATTTTAAATAAATTCTATTTTTGAACACGCGAGTCAGGCTTTCTTTTGTTTTCTCAACATAATACAAAACATTGGTTACCTAAAACACAATCCTAAAACTTCTGTTTCATATAATTTAAAGTTCCAAATGAGTCACATAGTAAGCGTAGACTGTTAGACTGAGAATATTGTCTAACCTGGAACCCCCAGTGAACAGGGCCGGTATAACAAGTCGATGGCGGGGGTCTGCATTAAAAAAAAAAAGGGTAAGGTCCGGTGCGACGTGAATCCCTCCGTGAGGGGTGTTGGGTTCTTTCCCCAGAAATTTTTGAGATTTGCTTCGATTTGCTGTATTCTGAGGTATATACTGGGCGAGTAGCACAAGGTAAATAAAATAAATATTGAACATTTTTTGTCTTAAAACATAAATTTCAAACTTAAATCAATTTACAAATCCTATAGCAGTCTTTTTAAAGATAAACCATCACAAATTAAAAGGCTATTATGAAAAAACTTTAGCCTAAAGTAGATCAAGTTACAAACCCCAGTCAATCGTATCAATTCAGAATCTTATACTCAACCCAAAATTTATCTATTTTGTACGGTGGCCTGTTAGTGCCATACACTGATTTATATCCTTTTCCTGAAATTTACATCATATGAGAAATCGCAGTGAAAACTGTGATGAATAAAAAAAACATGAAAAACCTTTCCACCGCGATGTAAACATTTTCTCCGCGGTGTAATATTTTCTCCGCGGTGTAATATTTTCTCCGCGGTGGAAACATTTTCTCCGCGGTGGAAACATTTTCTCCGCAGTGTAAATATTTTCTCCGCGGTGTTAATATTTTCTCCATGGTGGAAACATTTTCTCCGCGGTGTAAAGATTTTCTCCGCGGTGTAAAGATTTTCTCCGCGATGTAAAGATTTTCTCCGTGGTGGAAACAATTTCTCTGCGGTGTAAAGATTTTCTCCGCGGTGTAAAGATTTTCTCCTCGGTGTAAAGATTTGATCCGCGGTGTAAAGATTTTCTCCGCGGTGTAAAGATTTTCTCCTCGGTGTAAAGATTTTCTCCTCGGTGTAAATATTTTCTCCGCGGTGTAAATATTTTCTCCGCGGTGGAAATATTTTCTCCGCAGTGTAAATATTTTCTCCGCAGTGGAAAGTTTTTTTCATGGTTTTTTTATTTATCACAGTTTTCAATTCGATTTCTCATATGAAGTAAATTTCAAGAAAAAGGTATAAATCAGTGTATGACACTATCAGGCCACCGTAATTTTGCCATCATTAAAATCGAGTACTGCTCGGGAGTAAGGGCCAGATTGGAGCCGATCAGAATCTTCAGCTGAATATTTGAGAAATTATAACTGAGGTCATGTAGACCTATTGAACATGAACGTTATTACAGATGAAGGTATGCATTATTAACTATTTGATAATTACTACACTATGTTGCTTAAATTATGATTTAGATCAGTTTTCAATTTTAACATGGAATGCCCTAATGCAGATGTTGATATTTTCATTCCTATATAATCGCATTCAATCAAATTTTATTTTATTCTAGGTCATGATACACCTGCAACCTGCAGTGAATTTAGAAATATACATTTCACACTTAGCTTAATACAAAAAGTGCCTAATCATCAATTTGAGTACAATCAGAAAAATTCTTAGAAATAATGAGATGTCACGAGAAATATTTCCCATAAGAGATATTACATTTCACAAGAATAGAAATATTGTATTGAAGCAGGTTGGAAAAGCTTAATTTACATTGTCTATTCCTACATTATACGACAAATTGTAAAAATTTAAACTCCTTTACATGATTTTAGGTTTTTATTTAGTAATTTGTGATTGATTCTGGCTAAGAAAGGATTATGTCTGTCGTATATTGCATTTCAGACGGCGATATCTTTACAACTTATTTATAAACTGCTTAAAATGTTAAGAGATTGTCATTTAAGCAGGGTTCTTCTTGTGATTTGTGTAGGGCAGAGGTCCTGTTTGTTAAGTTTTAAGGAAAAATGTTGACCAGTGTTAACAGATTGATTATGACCTCAGCACTTCAAATTTAGGAGAGCCAAATCCATGAAATGGGTTTTGGTGTCTGCATTATTTCTGATTGAACAATATCTTATTTT